CATCTAATGCGCGCCAAAGACTTGTCCCTGTTCCAGCGGCCCAAGCTGCATATCACTGGGCTCATTGTCCACGGCTGGTCTCTATGTTTCAGTATCAGCAACAGCGACCACCCAAAAGATTCCAGCGTATCTGCAGAGTTAATTTGTCATGCCTTGACGGTGTTGTCACGCAAATGCTTGCTTCGCGACACGTATGTGCACGTTGTGTCTGACAACACGAGCCGTGAAACCAAAAACAATACGGTCCTGCGTCTTTTGGCTGCTTTGACTTTGCACGGGGTGATCCACGGCGCAAGCCTGCGGAACCTCAGGTCGGGGCATAGCCACGAGGACATAGACCAAGTTTTTGGCTCGTTGGCATTGTTCCTGGTAAAGCAGGGGAAGGATGTGCAGACGCCGGATGGATTTGTATCTATCATCAAGCGCTTCGCTGAAACAGCACATCGCCCCCATGAAAGTGATCGCCGTGTGATCTTGTTGGATCAACACCGACATGTTCTGTCAACCCCTGGCACTTGCCTCAATCTTGAAACCCGACCACGATAGTTTCGGGCCCAACATCCAACGCGCGCGTGATGTTCATTCGAGCAGAGTTATAGGAAGAGCAAGACTGGAACACCACAGCAACGTCATGCTCCCAAGTGGCTTCAAATGATTATTTTTGTATTAAGTGCCGACACATAGTAATACGCTTCAAATCCTTCCACTTTGAGGCCTGATAATTTTTGTATACGTGCTTATGTTTGCGCCCTGGGCGTTTATATAAATCAAGCGTTAGAAGGAATGCAAGAAAGCATACAGGGAAAAGCGATAAAACAACTTGATACAGTCTGCCAACCGTGTTTCTTCCGGCTGGACGGAGGAAGTCTTTCCTGAGTGAAGCCGTACCTGTGCAGCTGAATGGAATTGGTGGGCCAGGAGCTCCACACCACTTTGAGTTTTCTCGCAGGGAAGCTTTGGGTTTCTCACTGCCAGAAATTTAATTATGTTTGCACATGAGGTAAAGTGTGTCATGTGTTCAATGGGTGCACAAAGAGATCAGTTTTTAGTTCCTTCCATCAAGCCTTTTTCTTCGCGCCCTTTTTTGGCATGTTCCTTTCAAACTCGTCGAGGTTCACGTGTCACTTTATGTAAGGGTCGGTCAAGGTGAGGCATTGACCTGCTTTGGGTCGCCTGCATCAGCCTGAGGTTCTGATGAGGCCTTGGTCCGCGACCCTTTCTGGAAGATTGCAGCTGATGACGCGCACGTGGACGATGTTGTTATTCGGCTTCTTGGCTTTTGGCTGGTTAAGTGCAACATGTGCTCAAGGAAGGCTCACAGGTGCCAATTGTCCACTCAGATGTGGCCATGAAAGTCTGACCCCCACAAGTCTCCTTTTGGCCCCTCCAAACCTTCAGTCTTTAACTATTAACAGGAGGTTTGCGGGGGTCAGATTTGTGTGGCCAAGGCCAAGCATAATAAATGGCCACTCACAGGTTTGAGTTGAACCTTTCTGTGCATTATGTGTAGATGTCACTTCTGCAGTTTCTGCTCCCGGTTTTCTTACGCAAGGACAAAACAATACATGGCCGACACTGAGTATACCGCCAACTTGCTATTCTTTCCGAAGGTTGTGGCGTGCCAGACTTATCCAATGGGCCTTCCAATAGGAGAGAGAAATTGACAGTGTTGAATCTTAAGCAAGATGCTAGCCAAAACATTCCAAATCCTTCGTTGTGGTCATGTTGCAGGAGTCGCTCCCAAGAATGCTTTGAGCCAAGAGTACAAGGACCACGTGACAAAGTTTGTGGGAACTCTGCGTAGCTACGGCTTGGGTGATGCTGCTGACTACCTGTCAGACTGGATTTCTGGTTCCCTTGATCTTGCACCATTGTTGGATGTTTCAGCGTTGCATGGTCCTCAAATGAAGAACATGTTTTTGGGATGTTGTGGGCGCCACACTTGTGTGGCATCAGTCGTAGCCACAGCATCTCCCAGAAAGCGGTTTGCAGGCCGCATGGATCTGGTTTTCCTCATTGTTCTTTCTCAATGTGTTCAACCTTCCACACGCTAAGATCTCTGTGTGGAATGTTTGGTAGTGGATAGTTTTTGGGTGGGGTGTGCCCTCCCAAAGCTGGTGGGGGCTGGGGTCCCTGCAATGTGTGATGTGTTCTGAGGTGCTTGCTTCAACCTTCAAGAGATGGACCCGTTGCTCATGGGCTGGGCTCAGTGCAAAGCTTTGAGCCAACGCCAAACAAATTGACGCGCCTTGTTTCGCAAGGTTTCTACCAGTCACGTCGTCCACATTGAATTGGAGACTTAGACTTGTGTTGTACACGGTTGGAGGTAGTTACGCTCTAGGCTGACAGTGCTACAGTGCTACATGTCACATGTCCAAAAGGAGTTTGACAGTGAACCATACAACAGTTTTTGGCCCGAGATCATCTGGGCAAGTGAAGATTGTGAATGCTCGATCGTCCACTTTGCAACTTGAGGTTGAGCAGGCGCAAAGCAGAACGAACAGTGACAGATTATGTTTCACGTGCCCAAAAGGCCATTGTGTTTCAAGCTGCAGCCCAAGCGTGGGCTAATGGAGTACCGTGGGCGAAAGCCCTTTCTTTTTCTGAGGAGGCTCTTAAACAAGCATCCGCTGCCCCCAAAAGGAGGGCGGCAGCAAAGGCAAAAGCAAAGGCACGCAGCAGGTGAAATGTGTTAGATTTCACAATTTCACATTCACATTCACATCTATTTAAGTTGTATGAGTATGAAGAATAAGCAGTCTCCTTTCATTGCTTTTACAACCGTGCTTGAATGGACACTTGCTGCGATGACGTTGAAAGCCGTGAGAGGTGTCCAATGCCAGGTGGGTATGGACACCTGAAGTGGTACTGACCCAATGGACAACATTACTCCATATAAAGAACTTACATTTTTTGTTTTGATATAGGGTGCTAGTGTCCATTCCCAGGTGGCTTTGGTCACTACAAAGCCTCTTTCACCACCACCAGACTTGGTGACCAATCTTTGCAAGCGTGGCTTGAATTGAAATACATCAAATGTAGTTTGACTTCCAACCCTAAACCCTAAACGTTGTGGGAAAAAAACGGGCAGAGTTTTGTTCCCCAAAAAGCATGGAATGAAGAGATGATGTTGGGTGAGTTGTTGAGCTTACTTAGTGTCGGATCAGACCTCTGATTGGACACTAGGGTGGGGGTCGGGATTGGATGTGTGTTGGGGTATGGGTTTTGCTTGTTTCCGCTAGTGTCGGATCAGAGGTCCAATCCGACACTGAGCAAACATCAAGTGATGGTATTTTAGTATTCCAACCTGGGAGCCAACCCTTTGACATGCCTTAGTGTCGGATCACGGTTGAATCCGACACTAACCAACATGTAAACATTAGCCAACATCCGACACTAGCCATTATGTTAGTGTGGGACAGTCGGACACTACATGCATAATTTTGCTGTTCGACAAACTGTTATTCACCGAGCCCTTCTCTTGACCTTCCTTCCCTGTTTAAATTTGGTGTGATTCCATACAGGTTGACAGTGACAGTGATGCCACACAAAGATTGGTGTCGACCACGACTGGGCAGGGTCCTGGCCAGTCTATGATTTGCAGAGAATTTGGCCACTTCCAAGAAGGATGGCTGCTTTGGTCTAGGCAGGCGCAAGCGGTGTCTGGGTAGTAGATGGATGACGGAACCACCAAAACCTGGTGACAAAACATGTTTGCTGATTTTAGTTGACCTGTGTGTGAACTTGATCAGCTGCTCATGTTTGCAGCGATTGTGAACTGAACTCAAATCAAAGTATTTTTCCAGATCAAGGGCTTTGGGTGTAGCAGAATGCCGGCGAAGCGGAAATCAACGGGGTCGGATAAGAATGCGAAGCCACTCAAGAGCTTGAGAGAGGCGCAGGAGAATCCTGCTGTTGTTGCCATTTTGGAATGGTTTCCTAGCTTCATAGTCAACTCAGAAAGGTCAAAGGCAAGACTGTGGTGATATGTATATATAGATATTCTGGGCACTCCTAAGGCTTCAAAGAGATGTCATCCCCATTGGAGGGGTGCCAGCGTTCATGGACAAAGTTTTTGGCGCTGAGGCAGGTCAATTCAAGCAATTTCTTGAGCTTATGGGCCTGAACAGAACTTTTGCATTAGGCAGTTTGTTTCCTCAGTGTGTCAACAGGACGAATTGAACAAGTTTGCTATGTGGATAGACGACACCTTCCCACCAGACCCAAAGCTTGCTGGCAGCAAGGGATTGAATTTGATATTGTTGCAAGGACAGAATGCTGCTGTGTTTGCTGAGAATTTGGGCTGAGGGTGACCTACATGGCAAGCTATTCAGTTGGTCCGTGCTATCTCAGACCATACCAGCTTGGTTACCGCAAGGATTTTGGATTGAGTTCCAGCTGTGAGCCGGAGGAACTGGTGCAGCTGGCAGAACTAGTTCTCATGGAAGGGTGTCCATCTTAGTTGTTGTGTAATGGCTGTTTCTGAGAATTCAACCTAGTTGTTCTCAAGTCTATGCTTCAGGTTTCGCACAGACCCAGACTTGGGTGGGGTGGAGAAGCTTACGGTGGCAGAGCCTGTTCCTGCAATGCTTGAAGAGACATATACTCCTTCGCGCCATGTTGACAGTGCCCTAGTCGCTAGATAATGCACGGGGTCTGCTGAGTCCCTCACTACCCATGGGTGCTTTTATGCCTCGGGTGGCCTGCTTATGATTCTTTTTGGCAGGTGCTCTCCTTCCTCCATTTTCTGTGGGCTATGTAAAGGGATGGAGAAGGGCAACTTGCTTGATCAGTATTTTGGCTGGCATCAACAAGCTCCAGATTCAAGTGGCAGACCTTCCAAGCTGTTTCAAGGCCCAAACCACCGTTAACCTTGTTTGATAGTTGACTTGCTAGCTGACCCCAAAATCACAACATCTTGCCAGGAGAGTGTTGCGACCATCTTTGGGACCATCCCACAGCTTCAATCAATACAGGCTCAGGTGTTTGCCAACAGAGGAATGACGCTCTCTTCCACTTCGATTCGCAAAGCGCCAAACGCATTCCATTTCCTTCGCCAATGTGAGATTTTACAGAAGGTTGGGCATGGAGATGCAGGGGCCCAATTTGAGGAGCCCAGTCTTATTGAAGATGTTTTTCTTGATATATCCTGGCTTCATTCATACCTACACTGTTTGACCACTATTTGTTGTGCCCTACAGGACACGGCGTAACTAAATGCGGATCAAATAAGAGGTCGCATACAAAAAAAGTTTGCTCCAAGATACTCTGAATGCATCTGAAATGATTGGCCAGGAAAGTCACCCTTTGGAAAGTAGTAGCCGTTTGCCAAACTTCCAAAGTTAGACGTGCGTGTTTGAAGTGCAATAAGTTGCTTCCCCCAGAAAAGCACTATTGGTGAAAGGTGCAGATTAGTCATAGCTAGGAAGCCAACCAGTATGATAGCGCAGTAGGATGTGTATGATGTGTTGGAGGCTTTGACGCCTTGGGAGTAACTATTGTTTTTGTTCAATTGTTGATGCAAATCAAATGTTCTGGTTGGTACTGTTCCCATGGTTCTTGTTGACTTGATTGTTTTGCGCCCTTGTTGGCTGAATCTAAGCTTTATTATGTTCATGTCAACGTGTGTGCGCCTAGACCTGTCTGTGTGTCTTTGTGTGCTCCTCTTGCGCTGGCCCTGACGTGGCGCACTTTGTTATTCATAGCAGCGTTTTCAACACTAGATCTGTCCATGTCTCCCATTCTCCATTCATTGTTGGTGGGGTGTTTGTGTGAGTTGTTGATCAGCTGTTTTGGGAGTGTGGATGGTGGGAGGACTGGAGCAAAGCCTCATCGCTGGTGAAGGCTTTTAGCATTGGAAAGCAGGAAGCTCTTGCAGTGGTCAACCTGCAGAGCAAAGTCCATGCGAGCGTCCTGAAGCAGCTCAAAATCGAAGTGAGCAAGCGTGGACTCCGCTCCTTTCTGACCCATGAGGCCATAGCCCGCGGTGTGTTCAACACTGGCTTCAGCAGTGCTGTGTCTACGAATGAAGCCTGGGACCACGTGCTGACTAATTCGGATGACCAAGAGCTTGTTGCCTGTTACACACTTCTGTCTTTGCTTTCATTACTGCATTGTAAGGTGAATACATATATTATATAGCTATATATAGCTCTTGGGTCTCAGGTCTTTCTTGTCGCAGCAAAAAGTGTTTGTCCTTGATTGCAGACATTCAGGTTAAGCTCTTCTTGGTGCGGATCTGCTCGGATTGGGACAAGAGACCAGCTTCCCTTCGGAAAGGGTTGAGCTTCAAGGAATGTGCTGAGATCCACACCTGCTGTGGGATGTACCTTCATTACATCAAGTCGATGGAGGAGACTGCGCCCGCTGATGCCATTCATGGGACCAAGGAGAAGTTTCTTGAGCAATTCCTCACAAGCGGTTTGGACGCAGAGTTGCTGATGTCGGCGCAGTCCACTGTCCCACCTGGGGACCCTAAAAGCATTGGTGCTTTCAGGTGGGCAGGGGGGTAAATTCACGTTTAGAGTTTGGAATTCAGAATTGAATTGCTTTTCCTTGTGAGAATAAAAACATGAGTGGGAGGCTCATCATTGCCAAGTATGAGACCCAGTTGTCTATGCAAGCAGAAGACAAGTTGAGAGAAGCGGCTGAGAAGGTGTTCAAAGCCACGTTCGATCAGATCAAAGCCCAGATTGATTCTGATTTGAAGATCTTGCGAGAAAAGCTGCCTTCCCGAGAGGCCCAAACGATCGAGCTGGCCCAGGACATGAAATACATGAAGGACCGGCAAATGAACCTTGTATTTTGTTTCAGCAATTTGCTATTCGTTTTGTGAGAGGGTTGGCCTTTGGCCTTAATCTGTTGAATACTTCTCTGGTATAAGTCTTAGTCGGAACCTCCCAAAAAATCATTGCTTGCGTTCTGGCCCAAAGAAGGAAGGGAGTGGAGTGGGTGCGAAAGTGGATGCATTGCCATTGTAAGATTGCCAACGTGGAGGCTTCCATGCAAACAGCCCTGTCAGACTTTTCAAAGTGGATGGCTGAGCTTCTTCCCGAAGCAGGTTCTGGTGGCCAGCAGTAGCTTGCATCTTACATTTTTGTTTTGGGTTTGTCATGGGGGTTGAGGCAACGTATTGAATGGTAGTGGTGCTAGAAAAATGAATTGTGACCAATGCAATTGCTTTTTGTTCTGGCGATATGACTAAGGTATGTGATCGCAAGCTTGGATGCCACGGTGTGGCCAGTGTCTGCCCCCATCATGGACTGTTTGACCATGCTGACGAATGTTTGTGCTCTGAACCCGGGAAATGTCGGACACATTCAATTGCCACAAGTCCAGGCTCAAACAACATTGTCAGCAGTGACGAAGCACAGACACCAGGTCGAGCTTGCCCTCCTGAAGGCAGACATGGATTTTTCGACATCGTTGACTCTGGCTTTCCAGAAAGAGTCAGCAAGGAGTGGAGCTGACAAGAGGCCAGCTTCGCAGGTATGTTTGATTGCGTATTCAGGCAAGACCTGCAAGTGGAATTCATCAGACATGCTGCAAAATGGCTTCTTGGGAGGGGTACCATTGATCAAAGTGAGCGATATGGAGGGCTATGATGCTGAGACACGTCCAGGAGCTGCTGCCCGAGTGGAGCAGATTCTTGCCTCTTCAAGCAGCAGTCAGTTTCTAGCAAATTGTAATGGTGGTGAGGAGAGGTTCTGTGATTGAAACCATCAGTCTAGCTGGTTCTCCACTGTGATAGTGCTGCTTTCTTGAAAGACTTTGTTGTGTGCGTTCTTGGTACAGGAAAGGCATTCCGTGCCACAAGACCATTATCGAGGGCTATTTGGATGGCCACAACTTCAACGAGAAGGACATCATTGTGTGGCTGGACATTATCCCGAACAGGCCATCGTTTTGTGTGGGAACATTCAAGTGGCGTAGCTATCAACATTGCTAGTGTGTACAGGTGTTCACCCAGCCAGCATTTTCCTTGGCCCTTTTTGATTTTGTGGTTCAATTTTTATTGAATAGAACACGCAGATCTAACAGGAAGACCATGCCAACAACAATCATTGCACGGTTCAAGATTGTGAGGCTATTGTTCAGCATTTGTTTTTTTAAGTGCAAACGATGATGTTTGGTATCCAAGTCAGCTGAGTAGGTTTGCAGAGTTTGGCAAAGCGTGCGCGCAGCGGATGTTTGACGGTTTGAGCCCTCCGGTGCGTTACTATGGCCTGTTTCGAGATGCTCAGCGTGGCGTGGTAGATTCCATCGAAGCCAGCGCCTTCTCCCATTGGGATTCTTTGGGCTCATCGCCGCCAAAGTCACGACCCCGCCAGTCTCAAGAAGCTCAGATTTCAGGCCTGCAGCTCCTCACTCACAGCAAGTCTGGTCCAGGATGGCCTCCACACATCATGGAAAAGTTTCCAGCAGAGTCTGTGGAGTTCAAGGAGCTTCATGCCATGAAGGTTGCCTTTGAAAATGAGTATCCTCCTGCTGCGCACGCATCTCCTGCTAGTGGTACTACCCGTGTGAGAGGCGAACCTGACTTTTCAGCTGATGGTGTGGCCCCCATTGATTGGAAGCGTGTTGTGCAGCTGGCCCCGGAAGCTACGCCAGGTGTCGACGAGAGGCCATGTGTTTCGGTCATCGCCGCCGGCTGCTTATGATTGTAGCTGCTCTCAAGTCAAGACCTGTGGTGTAGGGATCCTTTTGTTGATGTGTAAACTGATCCTTTGAAGTTGAATGTGTGCTTGCGCGCACCCTTCAAAGTTCTACTTTTCAATGGTCATTCACTAATTAACTTATCCCCTGATACTTGTTGCTGCAAGAGCCTGTCATCGTCGTAGCTATTGCAAGGCAATGTACAAATCCCCAACACCTATTCATCCCAACCGTGTTTCAGCACACCCTGCGCAGCAATTGAATCTAGATAAACCAAAGTTAGTCACTTGTCCTTTTCAAAAGCTCAATGATGCCCTCGTAACAACTACTGCCCCCTTTCACCCAATGGATCACTTCAATTTTGTTTGGAATTTGTGGACGCAATCTACCCTAGCCAGGCTGGGCTTTGCCGCTGGCAGGGGTGGAAGGCCGTCTGTGATTGTAGACAAGCGCATGGCCATTTGGCTGGGGAACGAGAGTGATGAGAGCGTGACCTGGTCTGGCATTGAAATCTGTGGGTTTGGGACCGGTCAGTTTGAGCCGAAGATTGTGCGTGGTGGTGTGAGAGACGTGAGTGGCCTTGCTTTTCGATTGCGCAATGATGCCACCTTGGTTTCCCACAACAAGACTCTGATGTCTGTTGCGCACTTCATGCAGCACTTTGCTGCGACAAGTGGCCTAGCAACGATAGAGATCGAGGACCACGTGACCGAGCCGATGCTTCAGAGACCCGCCTCTTGTCTCCAACTTAGCTGGTGTTGAAAGGCTGTAGACTTTAAAAGTGGTTTCGCCCCCTGACCTGGTTATTGTAAGGCTGGCGCCCAATCTCAGACAAGCGATGGAGTTCCTGTCAGCTTTCGGTATACCATCAAGCCGATGCCCAGCTTCCGCACGAATGTGTTCCGCCCGAACAGCCTGAGCGGGGACGCCCGACTGACAACGTTGAGAGGTGTGTTTGTCGGAAAGATGGAGCACATTCCTGAGAGCAAAGTCGTGGATGTGGTGTGGGAGGCTGGTGCTGCGCCCTTGTTTTGTGTTGGGACACATATTGAGGAATGCCTGTGTCAACCGGATGGTTGCTAAAGCAAAACATCAGATTGGGAAAAGAACTAGATTGGTTGTTTGCAGATTTTTCCTTTCAGGTCGAGCTTCAGAATCAGAAAATGGTGGCATCAAAGCCTAAGATCTTTTTGACTGCGACTGTGACTGTGCCGGCAAATTCCTGGGTGAAGTTGGTGTAGATTTTCAATCTACAGCCAAAGAAGAGAATTGTTTGCCATGGCTTTTTGTGAGCCTTGTGGAGTTGCGCCGGCTGCAAGTTTTGATTTTTCAATTTGTCAGAGATCCAAGCTATTCATGAGTAAGTCTGTGACCCTACTGTGTTAGCAGCCGGCGCCGGAAGCTTCCTCCACTGGTTTTTGAACTAAATCGCACCTATAGCTGGCAGTTCCGAGGTCAGGAAAAAGAAATGATGATACTGGATTGAGTTCCCGATTTGTTTTGGTGCGTTTCAATGGTGAATGCGCCAGCTCCCCGCAAAGAATATTGTATTGCAGCTGTCCAACTCAAGGTTGCTGTGAGTGACTATTTTAGGTGTGCTTGTGCCAGTGTGTTGGAATGCCTGTGTTGGCAGCGATCAGTAAGTTGTCGGACGAGGAGACCCCAGAGCCTAAGGCGAAATCTAAGGCAAAGCCATCGCCGAAGCCACCACCGGCTAAGGCAAAACCATCTGCCAAGCCACCCCCTCAGGCTAAGGCTAAGGCGAAGCTATCGCCGAAGCCTAAGACTGTGATGAAGACGCTGCCCAAGAAGAAGGCTGAGGAGGCCCCCCCCTGCAAAGCCCAAGGCCCCCCCTGCAAAGCCCAAGGCTGAGGTACCCGAGGGCGAACATGCAGATGGTGCTCCTCCATCGACGTCCAAAACGGATAAGGCAGAGAATACTCGGCATGCTGGAATTATTAGAATCTTTTTTGCATGATTCCTGCCATAATTGATTGAAGTGGTGTCCTGCGTAGGCTAGGCAAGATATCTTTTGGCAGAGCTGCAGGTTTTGAAGCGTCCTGCTGCTGCCACCCCATCAGACCGCAAGTTGTCCGCACCCTTCCCCTACAAGAAGCTGAACACATGGGCGATCAAGATGAATGGGAAGCAAGTCCTCAGTGTTGCTAGCCTGAATCTTTTGGGGTGTGTCCTATTTGAAGGTTGCTGAACATATCCTCAGCCTTGCAGGTCGGGGGCCGGTATTATCCCCGGGCTAAATCGAAGGAAGTGATTGCTTCGGGCTCAATTTTGATAGTGAGTTGTTTGAGGAAACATTGCTGCTCTCAAGGTTTGTTTGTTTGTTTGTTCTATTTGCGACGAGGACGAAATGCACAAGCATTTGGAGAAGGGGGATGACTTGAGCGATGTGAAAGCGATGGCGGCAACTCGCCAGCTTGTCATTAAATGAGTGTTCCGGGTACAGTGGGGGGGGGGGGTGAGCAAAACCACAAAGGTGGCTATGATGGAAGCGGTGCCAAAGCTGGAGGAGCCAGAGCCTTTGGACGGTGAGATTGACGAGCCAGAAAAACCCTTCGAGGATCCGAGCGCATTGGAAAACGAGGGTGCTTTGGATTCAACTCTGTCACTGTGGGAAGGATGTTTTCAACTTCTCATGTTTCCCGTGTTTTTGATGAATGAACTTTACATGGTTTCTGGATTGAAGGCAACTGATTGAGCCTGTTGAGGTGTTCAGATGAAACGTATTGACAAAGTGGATGACCACTTCTGACTGCCGTTGTGAGTCGCAGAAAGTTACTGCTGGCTGTCTCGGAAAGTTATTGCTGCTTCAACCAATCAACACCACAAGCATGTTACCCTGTACAGTACATACACACAAGCATACATGCATACATACGTACGTACATGTACGTACAAACACACCTGCAGACAGACAAACCGACAGACAGTCCAACATACTGGACCAGTAAGTGCAGTCATACAGAGATACACAGACGCAGACTTGACACACAGAGATTCATACATGGTTTGCAACATAGTTCACTTGCATACCACGCAGATCATGCGGGCAATAATTCAATTTTTACACCACACCGTACTGCTCAGTAGCCTACAGTACGCCTCGGTTCCACAAACCAGACCATATAATATCACTCAGGAACAGCAACAAGCAAAGGCTTCACTTCGAAGTCTGTGTCTGGATCAATTTGTTTTTGTTCTGTCGCCCAGGACTGGGTCCACAGTTTAACGCAACACAGCCTTGATGTGTTAAGATACAGTCAGACGGCTTAAAAACACAAGCGAGTGAATGGGGTTTCAAAGCTGGGCTTGAATGCAACCTTGCTCACAGTTCAAAATCCTAGCAACACCATTCCACGTTCAATCGTAGCTGTAGCTTACTAAATTGAAATCTGTTTTCTTCGCAAAAATGCAAACAGTATCAAGTCCAGCTCGCTTTCTTTTACAAACTGGCGCCCTGTGTCAAGTTCTGCTGACTATTTTTCGATAGCTGTTTGTAAGATACTGTGAGACATGCCCACACTGTTCTTCCCACAAACAATCTGGCCAAGCCAAACCGAGTGCTGACCCCAAAAAACATTAAGTAGAATTGCCAAACCAAACAAGCATGAATCTGAGGCAAAGGTGGCCCTGATGACATGGAGCTGTCTGCAGCTGCTGAGGGTGAGGAGGAAGAAGAAGAGAAACGTTCGGCTGCAGATGATGCAGGGGATGAGGAAGCTGACCAAGTGGAGAACGTCGATTAAATCGACTTTGGACTAACGAGCGGACAGCTTGTGAGCGGGAAAAAAGGTGAAATTGTGGAGTTGACTGTGAATGTAGGTTGGCAATG